AAAGTGACGTGGCAGTGGTTAAGGAGGTCCCGTCAGATTCTGGTTGATGGTACTTCCCGAACGCGACCCTGTGGGGTATGACTGAGAGATGTCGTGATTATCGATCTGGTTCTTATCTTCTTTGAGGGAGGTAATATGAAATTCTTTCTTCCAGTTGGTTGCTTGAATGATTGTCTTGCGAGGTCTAGTCCCATCATCCCATGGGCCAATGGTTACCGCCCGTACCTGAAATTTATTGTTAGGGATGGTGGTGACCTTTTCAAGAGTGATGGTTCACTTGTCTATTTGCTTGCATCTCCTGGGCACAAGCACACCTATGTAGGGGCGACTAGTCGATCGTTAGATGTACGATGGGGAGAGCATGTTTATCGGGCTTGCAACAAAGTGGTGGTGGAAAGGGGTAATAGGAATCACAAACAGTATAGCCGGCTAAGGCGATGTGGAGTGGAACACTATGTCCCGCTCTCGCTATTTTGTTGCGAGAAAGATGATTTTATGTGTTTGGAGAACTTTGTGATTCGTATTATCAATCCTTTCCTTAACACATGTGATAAACCAACTCGCTGAAAGAAGTGTCGGCCGGGGAAAAGAGAGAGAAAAAACTTGAGGAATAGGATGCAGGGGAAGGAAGTACGAATGGACCGTAGGGCGCATAAGCATCTGCATTTTATAGCAGGGGAGGGTTCTTCGACTAGCCTTGCATTTCCGTTTTATATCATATTTTTGCTCAATGCCGCTGTACCTTAAACCCACTCAAATGGGTTTCCTTAAAGATCCGACATCACAAGTTTGTTTAGGTGAATGAAGTATAGACAAGATGGTAGGTTTGTATGCTGCTATAAGGAGGCTTAAAGAAAAAAAAAACAGGTGCGCACTGAGGTGTATGGTGTCATGGGCTATCCGGCAACGATTTGGTTTCAACATTAGATTAGAACTGGTAGTACGGGCCACTTTCAATGTTCGTCTCAACAAATGTGTCATCCGGAAAACACGTTGTGAACTCATGCATGGGTTGGATGCACCTAGTTGTGTGAAGGATATGGTGACGAGGAGAATGAGGGTGGTTTGGGTGAAAAACCGAGGTGCGGGGGAGGTGCTTTTCAACTTTTGGGGGACTTCCAGACAAAGTACTCATGTTTGTTGTTGTTCGGAGGTGGATCAACGATTTCAATGTATGAATGGTCATATCGGCTTTCGCATGCCCATGGTTGATTTTGTGCTAAGTTTTCTAAAGAGCTCACGCAATAATCCTTTTCCTTCCCGTGTTGTTTCGTATCGTGGGTTAGCCCGGCAAATTGTTTCATCCTTTGCTCAACTGTCTTTCTTGCTTGGCCTGGACGAGGGAAGAATTGAGAAACAATTGTAGGAATCATGTTTCAATAATACTGTAGTGGGGCTGGGAGAAGGAGGGATCATAATGGAGATCTATGACGCTTTCCGATGGAGGCACAAGTTCGCTGGTTTGGTCAGGTGTCCGATTGACCACAGCGCCGGGGATATTTGGTGTGTTGCCCTGTTGCGGATACTAGGGGAAACATGGAGAAACTTTTCTTGAATAATCCTGGGTCTGTGCAACATGATGATGAAGAAGAGGTTATTGAGAGTTGTGCCTCTCGATTCAAGGAGGGGGGGTTTCAATGCTTAGGGAAGTGGAATGAAAATTGAAATTCGGGGCAAGCCTACTCTGTGCCGAAGCACAAGGACAGGGTACGGGAAGCCGCCAAGTACGGATCCTGGCTTATCCCAAGCCTACAACTGCTGGGCCTCTAGAAATGCCAACTTTTGTCTGCTTCTGCTTGGCCTCGAGTACCCGAGACATCTACCGCTACTTGGTGTGGTACTGGCCTACCTGTTTCTTGAGTGTTTTTTCCGCTGCTCTTAAGTGTCCCGGGCCTACTCCTGCCACTTGAGTGTTTTCCCCGCTGCAACCCTCAAAGTCATGGCCACAGGTAGATACCGGCCCTCGGGGCCCTCCGAACGAGCAAGGGCACAACAAGTGCCCTTGCGGGTCACACTCACATGCTCAAGCCCTCAAGCACTCAGACAGGCACGCAGACCAACAAGCATGCACACACACAGACTTAGAAAACTCAGCAACAAGCGGGAATCTCAGCAGCAAGGCATGCATTCCATTGGCAAAACTCAGAAATCCGCTCTGTGTCTCAGTCCGTGTTAGGCAGGTCCTTACATAAGAACATAATCACCATTGAAAAAAAGTTTAAAAACCTAATTACGTATTGGATTACAGGTCAAGCGCAAGTTCTATCATCCATGCTGCTCTATCAAGATGAATGGTGAGAACATGCACATAACCCTCAGAGATTGCACAAAGAAAAGAAGAAAAAAGAGAAAAGAAAAAAGAAAAAAAAAAAAGAAAAAAGCAAAAAGCAAAAAAAGGAAACAGGAAAAAAGGGGGCAGACAAAGAAGGAAAAAAGGCAGAAGAGAAAAGGCATGGAGCTCGTATCATGGAAGAACATAGAAGCCACCGATCTTCTTTTCCATTACTCAGTCGTTTTGAGAAAAACCGTGCCGTGCTGCTTGGGAGAGAGACGAAGAGAGGAGGGTAGGAGGAAGGGGGGTGTGAGGGGATAGAAGTTGTGCCCTGTATATTGCTGTTGATGGGTCCCTATTCTGCGCAAAGCCCGAGGACCACCAGCAGATCCGCAGCTGGGTGTGGCAATCCCTGAGGCCTTTCTGCTGCAGCCACATAGCAGCGTAGTCAGAGGGATAACACTTTCCTTTGGCATCGGAAGGTGGTGCAGATGAGAGGGGGGGTGTCAGGGACGGGATTGAATGGGGTGATGAGGGCGGAGGGGTAGTGGCGCTGGTTGATGATGTTGAAGATCGAAGACGAGGGGACGGAGAAGGGGAAAGATGCGGCAGCTGATGATGCGCGGGAAGTTGGCTTACCGGGAGGCAGAGATGGGAAATGATGAGTCGAGGTGGTGGACGAGGCTAGGTCTGGAGAGGGAAAGCAGCATAGCTGGTCAGCGGCATTTCTGAGCGTCGCATGGCATTGTTGCGCCGTGGAGTACTGCGTGCAAGCTGTGCTCCCGAGAGTGTGCAGGCCAGGGACGGGAAGCGCGAAGAGGAGGAACAGAAGTGCAAGAAACGCGAGTAGCGCAAAACATGAGAGCAAAGCACATGTTGCCACTTCAATGCTCGTCCTTCTCTTTTCCGCTGCTGTGTTCTCCACTGCTACCGCCATCGCGGTTCCTCAGCTGGCGATGAGCTAAGCGAGCAGTAGCGCAGCTGCTATTGCACCGCCGCTTGCCAGTGCTAGTGCCAAAGCTCCAAAAGCTACGGAGCCGCAGACTACGGAGGTCATCAGCAGCCTGGGTGAAAGGAGAACAAATTCCGTTTGGCAGAAGCAGAGTAGCGCCGCTGTGATGAGTAGGTTCGGCAAAAGCGCGAGGCAGAAAACGGCAAGGCTGAATAGAGCAAGGAGCAGTAGCGGGTCCGGCAGCAGGTGCAGCATGTTTCTGCGCTATACCACTTTGTCTTCGTCGATTTCTCGATTGGGTCCTCCACTTGGTCCAAATCAACGAAGAAGTACATGCCATGCTTTCTCCCTGGTCCAGCTTCTTCTGCTGGCAACTGAGTGAACCTCTTCCGTAACCGGAAAAAGAAAGGAGTGCTGCTCTGAACTGTGAAAGCAAGCAGGCCACAACCGAAACAAACCAAAACAACATCTACAGAACCGACAATGCACGACACGGAACAGGATTAATCTAGAGGTAGGCTGTCAGGTAGGCAAACAGCTCAGACTGCTGCGCAGTGCTGCCTGCCAAAATTCCACAATCACAGATGAGGCCGGCTTCTGGCTGTCATTACAACTGCATATTTGTTTGAAGAAGCAAACTGAATGTTCAGGGACGCTGGACCCGCTTTCCAGCAGGTGCTGCTCCCCACCAATAGATGGAGCCTCCTGGGAAGTGCTAGTGGTGTCTTCTCTTACCAGCACCCCTAGCATCCTCTCGGGTTGTTTGTTAAAAAAAAAAAAAAAAAAAAAAAGGGAGTGCCGCTTGCGTGGTCACACTTGTGACAACACTTCTTTTTGGCATTTCGTACCACGAATTTGAGACTTTGGGTACCCGTGTGGTCACACTGGTGGACTCTGTCCAGAAAGGACAGAATCACAACCCACCCAGTTGGAGACCAAGCCAAGTGCACGTAGTCAAACCAGCACCCCACCCCCCCCAAAAAAAAGGTTCTCTTCTTTTCTTTTTCAATGCTAAAATAACAAGCGGGCTTTCTTCTTCATGCACAAATTTTGACAATTTCTTTGGACAATGACAAAAACGAAAAGAGAATCTGAGGGCATACTCACAGGGGGACCTATAATCCCAAAATCCCCAGAAAAAGGGCAAATGGCCGGTCACACGGATCTACCAAATTCGCGAATGTACTATTCCTGTGCCCATTTGTCAGCGGCCTGGGAGGCCGCGGGGCAAGGGATTTTGCGGTCACCTCTGACCTCTGGAGGTGACCGCAAGTGCCCTTTTTTTTTTTTGCATTTTCTTCAAAAATTGACAAAAGTTCGTTCACAAAAGTTCTCGCACAATTTGTGGATGGCGCCGTGTGACCAGCCAAGTACCAAATCCCCATTTCTCCAGACGGCCACGACCTTGTCCCATCTGAAAAGGCACAGCAGTGTGACGTGAACCATGCCCAAAACCTCAAATTGGCCCTTCCCAAATTGCGGATTTGGGGTCGCCGTGTGAGTATGCCCTGAGACCACCTCTAGAGGTGGCTTCAAAAAGGGTGCATATCTTCCGGGTTGTTTGTGAGGAATTCCCCGCCTCCTTTCATTTGAGATAAAAGCTAATGATTCTTCCAAAAAAGAAAAAAAGAAAAAAAGGAAAAAGTAAAAAAAGGGTACTCCCGCGGTGTCGCAGGCCGCTGACATTTGGTTCACTAAAAAGTACAAAAGGGAACCGGGAGAACCCAGTGTGACCTGAAATCTACCTCAAAATTTGGGAATTCAGGTTATCAGGTCCTCGCGTGTATGCTCCTATCATCACTCCTATCGGATACCACGGGTTAAAAAAAAAAAAAAGGGTCCTCGCGTGAGTATGCCCTCAGCTATTCTGAGTTTTACCCTACTGAAACCAAAGATCCCCACACGGGCAAAAAACAACCTCATAAACCAGAGAGGGCCTCTTTTTCTCACGAGCACAGCACCCCTCCTTCATTCTTTCAGGTTTTGAACGCTCTTCACTGCTTCTCAGGGCACACTCACACGGGGACCTATAATCCCAAAATCCCAAAAAAAAGGGGAAAATGCCGGTCACTGATCTACCAAATTCGCAAATTTAATGTACTATTCCAGTGCCCATTTGTCAGCGGCCTGGGAAGCCGTGGGGCAAGGGATTTCGCGGTCACCTCTGGAGGTGACCGCAAATGCCCTTTTTTTTTTTTGCATTTTCTTCAAAAATTGGCAAAAATTCGTTCACAAAAGTTCTTGCACAATTTGTGGATGGCG